TATATCTGAATGATATGATGATATACTTCATGAAGAAGAAAGAATATACTGAGCATGTGTGAAGTGTGTTGAAGGCCTTAGATAAGATAGAACTATATGTTAAGCTTATAAAGTATAACTTCAGTACTTATCAGATTAATTTTCTAGAATATGTAATTATTATGAATGATATTCAGATAGAATCTTCATGAGTTGAGACTATTCTATCATGATCAGAGTTAACTAGTATTTATAAGATTCAGATCTTTCTGAGCTTTGTGAATTTCTATAGATGATTTATCTTTGCATTTATGAGAATCTTCTTGACTCTTACAGACATGCTGAAGAGTGAAAATAAGAAGAAGTTATTCTGTGAATAGAGAATGAAAAGATTATTAAGAAGAGAGAACTGTAAGAACTTTCTTATCTCAGAAGCTTGCAGAGCCTTTGTAAGATTGAAATAGATATTCACAGATACAGTAATACTATTTTACTTTGATTTCTTGCTTTTAATCAGATTAAAGACAGATGTCTTCTTCTTTATAATTTCAGAAATAGTCTCATAACTACAGTTAAATGAGAACTGGGTTTCAGTGGTCTTTTTCTCACAGAAGATGCAATCTGCAGAGATTAACTATGACATTCATAATCAGAAGCTTCTCATAATAGTGAAATTCTTTCATCACTGATATCACTACTTTGAGAATCTTGTGACAGTGATTACTGTTAGAACTGATTATAACAGCTTACAACAGTTTACTTTAATCAAGAAACTCTTACAGCAGTAGATTCACTGAGCTCAGAGACTGAGTGAGTTCTGATTTAAGATAGAATATATCAAGAAAACTAAGAACTCAGCAGACAGACTCTCTTACAGGTCAGACTATATTAAGAAGGCCAGGATAACAGATACAGAGAGACTAGAGAAGATAGAAAAGCTTCACAGAATGCTCAAACTGAGTGTTATAAAGAGATTGACTGAAGAATCTCTCAATCCCTTATAAGAGAAGAGAGAGAAGAGAGGAAAGAAGTCTGTGTAATTACTCTCTATAACACTGAGAGTTAACACTCTGAAGATCTTCATGAGAATTCTTGAAGAGAGTATCTATAATCTGAAGAATTTGCAGACTTTGAGAAGTATTACAGAAGATCTGATGTAAGAAGAAACAAAGTATAAGTCTTTATAAGATCTTCTATTCAGATTGTCTGAACTGTAACTGAAGAATAAATATACTCAGTATATTTAAAAACTGTTCACAGCAGAGATCAATTCTGCAGAAATAAAGAGTTGAAGAGACTTAAATAATCTCTTATGAAGAGAGGGCTGGATTTATATATCTGTGAATGAGTTTCTATATATAGAACTTATTAAAAGGTATTATGACTCTTCTCTAGCAGGTCATTTTACAGATACTAGAACTTATAAGTTACTTATAAGAAAATACTTCTGACTGAAGATGCAAGAACTTGTGAAGAAGATAGTGAATTCTTATACTATTTATTAGAATTTACAGATAGTGCAGTTCAGACTATATAAAGAACTTACTTCTCTACTCATTTCATAGAAATCTTGAGAACAGCTAGAAATGAATACTCTTATAAGTCTCTCTAAAAGCAAGAACATATATAATATCTGCTTTGATAGTGTGCTGATAATAGTGAATTACTTTATCAAGATAACACACTTTATACTCATCTGTAAGAACTTGAAGTTAAAGAATTTAACTCATATCTTCATCTGTGATGTGATCTGATTGTATGAATTGTCTGTAAATATTATCATAGACAGAGAATCAATCTTTATAGAAGAGTTCTGATCTGATCTGATATTTATACTGAAGATCTTACAAGATCTAAGCATAGCTTTTTATCAACAGATAGATGATTAGATAGAATATCTGATAAGTATATTAAAACAGTATCTGCAGTGCTTTGTTAATTACAATCAGAATAACTGAGTGTATTGATTATCACTTGTGAAGTTTATATACAACAACTTAAAACATGTCAGTATAGATAAAACTCTCTTTGAGATGCTTACTGAGACTTATTCATGAATAATCTTGATAAATCTGTGAGAGTATACTATAGAGTGTGATGATATCTGTGAATAAGCTGAGAGAATTCAGAAGATTCAGAAGAAAGCTTGTAAATTCTTAAGAAAGATCTAAGAGTATCAGAAGAGATACTATAACTTCAAGTATATTATAAAGAGTTTCAAGAAAGATGATAGAGTCTGACTAAGTCTAGAAAATATCATTATATGAAGATCTAGTAAGAAGCTGAATCTCTTATAAATAGAGTCTTACAAGATTATGAAGAAAGTTAGCTTACAGTTCTATAGATTGAAACTGTCATCTGAGTTGTAGATATATAATATTTTTTATATCTCTTTGCTCTGCAAATATAAGAAATTCTTAGAAGAGAACTCTATGACTCATCACTCTGTCTGTAAAGCACTAGAGAGTGAAAGAGAATATCAGATCAAAGAGATTATTAACTCAGAGAAGCAAGATTATGAGCTCTAATTCAAGATTCAGTGATAAGAGTATTCTGACAAGATGAATTAGTTCACTTGAGAATTATCTAGACAGATAAGATATCTGCAGAAGCTGAGACATGACTTTCATACTGTGAATTCTGATAAGTCAGAATAATGTGATCTTTACTAAGAATCTGATTATGATAAAGATATTAACACTGTTATTTATAAACTCTAGTCTATAAGATAATAAGTTTCTACTGAGATGAACAGTCTGCAGTGTATACAAGAGAAGAAGAAAACATATTCTTATTAAAACTAAAAAACAAGAAAATAAACAGAGCTGCAAATACAATTTAGAGATTAATAAAGAAAAAATAAAGAAAATTCACACTTATATTATTAATATCTGTGACATTCAATTCTCTCATAACTATCAATTTCTCTCTTTAAAGAAGCAGAGAGTATTATATCTGCAGTACAGATAATTATTACATTTGATATAAAGATTATCAGAAATGCATAGACTTCAGAGAAGCTGAACATCAGAGTATATACAGTTGTGACAGGGCCTTGAAGACTGGTTATCTGTGTGTGTGATCAGATATCTCTTATAAAGCTGTGTTCACTCTCTCAGTTATACTGAAGTATTCAGCTCAGAAATAATGAGAATGTAAAGAGAGAGCTCATCTACTCAGATTAACTTCTATTATGAATTTATAGCATTCACATTGTCTTGATTATCTGAATTTTATGAGTATCTGAGAACTCATCTCTCATTGATAATAAGATTGCAGAAATGCACTGCAGTGTGAGAATCATTGATAGAGAATCTAGGCATATTCACATATATCTGGTCAGAGATTGTGTGAGCAGAAAGAAGATGATTGTAGATCTGTGAAGCTGCAGAAGACACTGACAACATCAGAAGCTTTACAAGAACTGTCAGTTAGAGTCTGTAAGAAATTACTTATAAGAAGACTTACAGCAAAGAAGAGAACTGTGCTGCTTGAAGTCAGAAGCTGGTCTGAAGAAGGAATGAAATGAGCCACTGACCTGAAGATTGAGTGTGATGACAGGGCTGAAGAAAATGAAGATATGATTGTAAGCAGCAGTGCCTCTGCTTCATCAGTCAGTAAAAAGCAATCAGAGAAGTCATGGAGATGCTCATGAGAAGCTCAGCAGCAGTCAGACATTGTTTACAAAGATATTAAAATTAAAAAAATTTTTATTCTTGAGAAGTTCTTGAATCAATACACAGACATTGTCAGAAACACTCTCTCTCTATCATCTGAGTAAAAATACTTTGCAGATGAATGAGAATACTCACAGTTTATAAAGATAAAAGCTGTTATAAAAAAAGAGAAAAGAAGATGAGATTTCATAAACAGATCTGAGATATTTATACTACTCTAAAGAGATTTGCTTATACTATGAGTGATCTTATGAAACAGTTAGATTACTCTAGTAAATAAGAGTGATTATGAATCACAGATCTGAATCTTTCTATATAACTACAAAGAGTGATTGCAGATCATAGATATCTTGATTCTACAATTCTACAGAATTGATAAAAGAATGAAAAATTCTGTAACGTGGCGGAACCGAAGCGGTGGCTAGTCGGCGGCGTCACATAGGGGTAGTTGTTTGAGAAGCTGTATGAATGGGCTTGACTATCTTGCTTGAATAGCAAGCTCATAGGCTATAGAGTTATTGCAAGAATATCACAGATATGGTACTTAGTATACTAAGAAGATTGTATGAGGCACGCAGTAACTCTTATGTATATTCCAGTAGCAGCAAAACAAATCACTGACTTCTTTGATGAGGAGCCAGCATCTAGCTATTCTATATAGACAATGGGTGGATACCCTCCTCTCATTTCACAAGCAAGAATAGCCGGAGTGATACCTCAGCAGTGCCTCATTGCCAAGAAAAAGTAATCTGCTGACCTCATATAGAAGTGGGGTTCTCATATCCATTAATCAGATCTTTCTATGATATATCTGAATGATGTCATAGAGTGGTTGGAAACTGGTTCAGATGGGATGAAATCATTCACATGAAAGTGATGAGCTGTGTGAAACCGCAACAGGGCCTTGATGCGGCTGAGAGCATGACAATGCTCTCCCCTTTAAGAGCATAGTCTCTATACTCTCAAGATTACTGAATTAGAAAGTATCTTTGTTATATAGCAATGATTGTCAACTGATTGACAGTGTGTGTACTGCATGTGATACAAAGAAATAGATGAGTTTTTCTGCTGACTGCATAGGTCTTTCTTTTTTCATCTTCATTCAATTTAAACACATGGTAAGTGAGTTCCTTATATATCAATTTGAAATGTGAAAAATGTAGTTAATAAGAGACTTGCAGATCTCTCAACATATTTCATTCTATGTATGAAATTCTCTGCAAAAGTGATGTGTTTTTAGAAGCAAAGCTAACAGTAGTGACAGAATTTTTTGAAAAGATCTTCTCTCTCATGAAACATTTTTCTTTCCTCCCTCTCAATCACAACAGTGAGTGTATGAGGGTATTATCCTTGAAGAACAATCAAGGGCTTATTCTGACATTTTCTAGTGAGTAACAAATGTCTTTGTGGTGCGGCGGCGGCCTCTGTGGCCACCAAGAAAGCCAGGTTGAAGGTGGAGGCAGCAGCATCAATGAGCTGCGGGAGCACCACTCTCATTGTCACACCTCCTCCTTCTCCTGCTTCTTTTGTGACTGTGGTGGTAGTCACTGTGCCTTGCAGTGAGGTGTTGTCCCTTCTGCCAGTCAGTTCATCCATGTCTGGTCTGTCCCTTGCCCCCCCTGCTGCTGTTGTGACGCCGCCCTCCCCCCCAGTCAATACAGTGGTGTATGACCCCGTGTGGTCATTCAGAGAGGAACCTGGGGAGAGCTTGGTTTTGAGGACAGTGGCTCTGAGGAGTTCAATCTGTAGTTCCCCTCCCACGGCACGCCCGAGCCCTGCTCAGGATGCTGCTGAGTTGAGTTCACAGAGTCCCACAGTTCCTTCATCTTCTCTCTGTGAGAAGGCTTCAGTGCAGCCTCTGGCCAGCATCACTACTTGTCTGTGCTGTGTCAAGCAGCTGAAGAAGAGGGGGATTTTATGTATCTGTCTCTTCTCTCACTTCTGTTGTTTCTGTTGCATCTGCAACAATGACTTCTGCCTCTCTGTAAGTATTACTTCACAGGAAGATGTTGTATCAGTTCTGATGAGAAGCCTAGATGCTCAAGCAGTACAGAGTGAGGATCTCAGAGCTTCAAGTGTTGATGAATTCTGTCAAGGCTGAGGAGGTCCCTCTTGCTCATCTGCAAAAGGAGATGAAAGTGTGAGTCTCTGAGATGAAAAAACACCTCAGAATGGCTGATCTCAAGAAGAGATCAGCTGATGTCACTGTTGAAAGTGCTGCAGAGATCAATCACTGATTGAAGAGAATCTCACTTCAATTGAAGCAGATAACTGAGATGCTTTGTAAGTTGATAAGTTGACATTTCATGCATTTCTTCTGCTCTTCTGCAGTGCCGCAGTGCTAACTTCTCAGCAGGCAAAGATGTCAGTGCCAGAGACTTTAACAGTGAAGAATGAGTTTGGTGAAGATGTGGTTGTTGATGAGTAGGCTCTGAGATTCTCTCTTTTTACTTTTTCAGTGAGCTGCAGCCTCATTAGATTAGCAGTGGCCTGTGAGTTAATTAATATTAATCTTTTTATTGATTTCAAATATCTCTTTCTTTCCTTATTAACTGCTTCAGGAATTTTACACTTGTGTAGTCTCATTAAACTCCTAAAAAACCCTTTGAGAGAAAATAGAAGAAGAGTGCTACAGAGCCTACAAGACACTGGCTCATCACTGTGAGATCATCTCTAAAAAATCCTTTGAGAAAAATGAGAAGTCTTCAAGTAACATTTCTTGCTCAACATCTCTGATGTGTAACAGAGCAGTCTCTACTAGCTGTCTCATAGCTTGCAATCTCTTTCTCAGCATTTTTCAAATGCTCAAGTGATTTTCACAAATTCTCTGATAATGAATATTCTTCTTATTTAACAAGGTATTGAAGCTTGCTGTAATGTGTTTGCTTGTTCAATATTTTCTTCATAAGATATTCAGTATCACTCTTGATCTCAATGTCATTCAGCTGAGATAGCTCCATCCCAGAGTGTTACTTATAGAGCTTCAAATAGGAAATGTGAAAAACAGAATGAATTGATTTCAATTCTGTAGGTAATTTCAACTCATATATCTGCTTACTCACTACTCTTGTTACTGAGAAAGGTTCTAGCCACTACTCACTGAGCTTCTTACACAGTCTTATTATCTTGATATTCTTTGCTGAAAGTAACACTTGATCCTCTATTGAGAACTTCATCAGAAGATGTTTTTGATTATAGTATTTCATCTACTGCTTCTGAGCATGGTGAATGCTTTTCACTGCCTTCTCATGAATTTTATTCAAAAGTTTCAATCTCACTTTTACTTCTGATACTGAGAAATACTTCATTCTCTGTATCTGTTCAACATTCTGACTGTCTATCCCCCCCTTTGAAATGTTGTCCGCGATGTCACTGAGTAATGAAGAATTATATTCATAATAAGCATAGAAAGAAGATATCTTTAAGATTGCATTCTTTGCATTGTTATATATGAATTCAGTGATCAGAAGATGTTTGAGCCAATCATTCTGATAATATGAATAGAACACTCAAAGATGCTGTTCTAGTGTCTGATTCTGACATTCAGTCTGATCATCAGTCTGCAGATGAAATGCAGTACTGAGAAGACATCTTATTATAAGATGATAGCAAAAAGCTGATCAGTATTTGCTGATGAAGAGAGATTCTCAATCTGTTATTAACAATTTCAGAGCACTGTGATCACAAATGATGATATTTAAAAACAGATCAGTCAATTCAGAGGCTTTAATCTTTTTGTGAGTAGAAATATATCTGATCATCTTTGTGAAGTGATCAACAATGACCAAAATTGAGTCATATTCTTTGACTCTTATTGACTTTGGCAGGTCAACTATGAAATCCATCAATAGATTCTGTCATGAGTTCTTTGAAACAGACAGTGATATCAACTCACTGTATTACTTATACTATGAGATCTTTATTCTTTGACAGACATTGTAAGTTTTAACATACTCTTTGACATCTGTCTGAAGCTTGTCTCAAGTGTATTTATATTTTAGAAGCTTCTCAGTCTTCTCTAACCTGAAGTGCTCTGTATGAGAATTATTATGATGAATTCTCAATAACTCCTGACACACCGCCCTGCTACAAGGGATGAAGACTGAATCATTCAGCAGTAGAAGTTCACATTCTCCTAGTTATCAGTGACTTAGTTCCTTAGCAGCACTGCCCCGCTCAGAGCCTGTCTCTTCCAAGTTCAAACTGAATTCTTCCTTCTTCAACTTTTGAATTTAAGCTGCAGTAGAGATATCTCTCTTCTGTAACTCATCAATGAATTTCAAAAGTAGTCAGATTGAAAGATTGTAGACTGTTTCATTCTTTATCAATTCAATGATTGCAAGACATGACATGAGAAGCTCATGATCTTCAGTGTCAGTCCCCTGTGAGGACCTGGATTCTCTTCCACCTTCTATACTGGGTCGCACAGCTGCCTCTTCAGCACTGTTTCTGAGCTTTAGAGAATCTCAATCCTCTGCAGCCAGCTTCTTCTGCAGTGATGACAGAGGTTCTTTTATAGAATTCTTCTCCACATCAATGATATTATAATCAGACTGCCTAGATGGCATGTCAGCGGGGTTAAGCTGATCTGAATGGTATTGAATATAGAAATCATACTTCAAAAGCAGCTTCACCCACCTGGCTTGACATTCTGTCAAGCTCTTTGTTGTCAAGAAGTAATGCAGATTTGTATAATCAGTGAGAACTTGCACTGAGTACTTACTATTCTGAAGATAATGTCATCAGATCTTAAAGGATTTGACAATTGCTAATATCTTCTGATCATGAGTATCATATCTTCTCTGCATGAGTGATAACTTCTTGAAGAAGAAGGTCACTGATCTTCATTCACAGTGTCTTGTAGACTTCATGAAAAAGTCTTCTTTCATAGACAATTCATTGCCTGTTTCTTCAGAGATGATTATTCTCTGATTCTTTCAATATTGAAAGGTCTCTGATGTCAACTGTGAAAAGATTTCACAGATCTCATTCCTGAATACATCAGTCTCACACTGACTGAGTAAGTCAGGGTTAAAATGATTCAGCATTGTGACATCTGTGAAAGCTTGTTTCAATTCTGCAAATACCTGCATGACGCCTTGAGTGAGAGTAAATGATTCTGTTTTCCTGTCTTTCACACTTCTCTTCAACAGATCTGTAAGAGGGGCAGTAATCTGTGAATATGCATAGATGAATTGTCTGTAGAAATTCACAAATTCTAGGAACACCTGCATCTCGCAGTACATCTGCAGCGCCGGCCAGTTCTCAATGATGAAGACTCAGCTTCTGTTCATTGAAATGTCATTCATCTCAATAACATAATCTAAGAAATCAATCTCCTGCATGTAGAATGAGCATTTTTCAGTGTTTGCATAGAGTTGATGCTGTCTCAAGCAACTCAACACTTCTTGAACATGGGTATCATGTTCTTTCTCTGATTTCAAGAAGATTAAAATGTCATCCAGGTATACTATGCAGGAGATGTCAACAAGGCCCTGCAGTGCCTCATTTATATAGGCCTGAAAGATGACTGAAGCATTACAAAGATCAAAAGATAAAACAAGATATTCAAAATTGCTGTACTTGGTATGAAAAGCTGTTTTTCAAACATTGTCTTCATTAACTCTGATTCTATGATAGACATCCTGTATATCAATCTTCAAGAACATCTTTGCTTCAGATAATTGATTGATCATCTCATTGATTAATAGTAATGAATAGTGATTCTTAACTGTTATCTTATTGAGGCCTCTGTAGTCTACATATAGACATAGCCTATCATTCTTCTTGAACATAAAGAGTATAGACGCCCCTGTCAGACTCTTTGATGAATATATTCAGTTCTTTGATTGCACTTCTTCAAGATATTTGCACAGAACATTTAACTCCTTTACAGATAAGTTATAAAGAGGCCTGTACAGTGCTGTTGCACTGTCTTCAAGGTGAATCTTATATCACATCTTGATATCAGGAAACTTCACTGCTTCCTTTTTCAAAAAGACATTCTTAAAATCTGTAAAGAGACATTGTATACATTCACCTTCAATGATGAATACTGCTGCTAATCTTGCAGTGAGAGTGATGACTTCTTCATCTGTTCTCAAGTCTCAATCACCTGCTACACAGTATATCAACTCAATCTTTTTCTCAAGATTCTTCTAATGAAACTCTTCAGATTTCTCTATCACTGTCTCTTCATCAGTGAGATGATACTACCACACCTGAGTGACTCAGTCAATGAGAGGATTGTTTTCTCTCAATCATGAGAGACCTAGAATGATGTCCTCATCTATGATGTTGACTGTGTGAAGAAGCAGACTGCTCTTCTTGAAGATTTCTTCTGAGTCTGTGATCACACACTTTGCTTGAATTATGTCAAAATAATGGCATTTCATTTCATCTGTAAATTTCACATGGCCTGATGAATCTATCTTCTTTCAACCCTTTATTAAAGAAAAGAAATAGAATATGAAGTTAGTATCTACTTCAGAGTTGAGTAGACACCTCACTGATATCTTCTCATTCAGAGTATGCATTGTGATTGTAACATGAACTCAGAGATGTGAGGATTATCAATTCTTTTCTTTCTCTTCTTTATCTTCTGTGAATACATTTGTCAGAAGAGGAGTTAACTTTGAGAAGATGTCTTCTCAGTTTCTTCTCTTCTTCAGCTTCTTACAATCACTGATATAGTGATCACCAGCTCTGCAGTTGAAACAGAGATCTTTGTCAAATCTTTTTTAACATTTCTTTGCAGTGAGTGAAGAATCAGAATACTTGGAATTCTTCTTTACTTTCTTCACACTGAAGCTGTCATGACACTGTTTAGATTCTATCATTGATTGCTTAGAAGAGGTCTTGTTAGCCTTTTTCTTAAAGAATTGATTATTCAAATAGATCTGGGAAGCCAGGTTGACAAGCTCAGTGTGATTAATTGATGAACTCTGATACTGTGATATCATTGTCTGCACTTTGTGAGTCAGCTTTGTGAGATAAAGCTGTGTTTTTAATTGATTCAAATCATCAGTTAATTTCTCTCAATATTCTTCAAATCTTGCATTGAAATCAGAAGGATTTTCATCATCTCATTGATGTAATGAGTTAAACTGCTGCACTGCTGTGAAGCTGCAGTTGCAGTGATCTTCAATTTGATTCAGTAGAAAGTCCTTGAATTCTTCCCAAGTCATGGCAGCATTGATACACTCAAGCTCCCTCTTCTTGATGGCTCAAGTAGTCACAGAGATGCCTTCAAGGAGGTTGACAGTGTATATTACTCATATCTCATGAGTATTATACTGGCTCAGGTTAAGGTGGAATTTCTGTTCAAGAGTACAGGTAAAGCTGTGGAATTCAGACAAGATGTTTCTCTTGTATCTTAGTGAATCTCTGATCTTAATCTCTCTATCTCCATGATAGATGTAGGTGTGT